TGTTTTTGTCTCTCCATCCAATCAAATGCGTCCATGCATTTCTCATAGCTTTGATAGTGTACTCGAAACATAGAGAACATTTACTAAAACATATTTAGTAAATGTTTTAAAACTAAAGATGCTTAGTTTCTGTAATTATAGACGAGGACTTGCTAGAAGAGGACTTGCTTTTGTATATTTTTTTACATATTTATGGTAGAAAAAATCAGAATATACGGATAATTAAAAAAGTTATATTACCAACATGTAGGTAGATATTTAAACTTTCTATACTTAATTCTATACATTTTACATAAAAATTTTGGTATGATATGTTTTTATAATTTAAATAAATCTTTTTCTATACTATCTTTATATATTTTTTGAAGAATTAAAAGCATGTTGAAAAGAACAAGGAACATTTTAAGCTTGGAACTGTATTCCTCATGTTTAGTCAGAATTTCCATTTTCTGAAAAATGCATTGTTTTTGATAGCTAAAAATATTGTTCCTACTTTTTAAAAGTAATACATTTTCACTACATATCTACATATGCCTTACATATGTATTACTGACATGGAATATGTAAACTTAGTTTTATAATCTTGTATATTTCTTTTTCAGAGGATAACAGTTTAGAGGGCCAAGATGTTGTCCAACTTGAGGATATTTGCAGTGAATCATAAGAAAATATCCAGCTTGCACGTTTGTGTAAGTCTTTCTTGTAAAATTAAATATACTTCATTTCCTTTATTTCCCAAAGGAGATATATATATGTATATATATATCTTTTTTACAGGTATGGGAGAACCTGTAACCAAGAAGAAGCATGCCTTATCATTAGTTCATAAATTCATTTTACTGCTTTAAAATCACCTTTGCAGCATTTTGAAGAATATCTATTTCTGTATTCCATTTGAGGTCATTAGTGGCTCAAACAATTACAGTTTTTCTCCAGTGTTGTCATTGCTAATGCTTTCAGACTGCACACACTGTCTTACCTTGATCATTACCTTGGTGCAAATTTTAATAGCTTTGAGTTTCTTCTTTAATTTCACATTTGAACATTCCACATGGTTTCAGTTTACAACCTGCAGGAGGAACGTGGTCTTTGAAACCAAATCTGTAATTGCTTCTTCACCCCCAAGAAAAGTGTGAATTAGTGAAACCCCAACTTCAGGGGAGCAATCCACCTGGAACCTCCGCAGCCGGCAGCGCGAGGTGAACGCAGAAAAGACCTCTGAAGATGGGGCCCGGGAGGTCACTTCTTTTAAAAATATGTTTTAATTGATTTCAGAGAGGAAGGGAGAGGGAGAGAGTGATAGAAATATCAATGATGAGAGAGGATCCTGCACACTCCCCCACAACTGGTGATGGAGCATGCAACCCGGGCATGTGCCCTTGACTGGAATCGAACCTGGGACCCTTTAGTCCACAGGCAGACGCTCTATCCACTGAACAAAACCTAGGGCCCAAATGTTTTTTTAAAAGCTTTCCAGGTGATTCTAATGTGTAGGCACTCTTTTAAATCCTGAAAACATCCAATAGTTTTAGAGTTCATGACCCCCACCAGCTCTTTGCAGTTGAAGGAGTAGCCAGGGTGAGAGACCTTTTTATCATTAATGAGTCTCTGGAAACTTCAGGATCTTGGTTCTCAAACTGTAGCTGTCAGCATCACCTGGAGAGCTTATTATAACACCGATTGTTCTGCCCCATCTCCACAGCGTTTGGTTCCCTTGTTTGGAGCGGGTCCTGAGAGCTTGTCTTTCTGTCAAGTTCTCTGACGATAATGCTGCAGGTCTAGAAGAACTGGCGTCTAAGGTCAGCTTAAAATAGCAAACTAGTCTTAATTTCATTCTTTGTCTTTCCTGTAGTAAAATTTGGGTTGTCACTTTTAAAAAGAATTGGAGTTAATAAATTGGGACTGCTTTAAGGAGATTTGAAGTATTTTGTCCTCTGACAAAGCATAGTTACGATGTTAAAACTACTGTAATGAGTCATGCTGACAAAGTTAATGTCGTTTCTTTTTCTCCTCACTAGAATATGTATTGCTCTAGAATGAGAGCAAGTTTAAAACGAATAAAGCCACTTGTGCCTCTTGGAAGAAGTTACAGTTCCCTGCCAGGTAATACTGTTAGATTCTTCTCATTTTACTTACATTGCTTGCTTCTCTCTACCTCTTCCCTCTTCTTCTTTCTTCCCTCCTTCTCTCCTTGACCCCTCCTCGTCCTCTCTCCCTTTCCTCCTCTTCCTTCTCCTTCTTTCTCCTCCCCTTCCCTAGTCTCTCTCATTTGTAAGCGTCTCCCTTATTAGGGGGCTCCAACCATTTTGGAAATAGTGGCTCCTTTTACTTCTTGGCTATTTCCTTGAGATTATTAGGAGTAGGGAGTATTCTGAGATGTCAGGAGGGAACACCAATAGACTTCTTCATGCTCCTCATCTGCTGGTCATCCTAATAAGCCGAATGAAGGGAAGGGGTGAGTCAGCTTTAGTAGCTGGCTCAAAAGTTTAGCAGGTGAGTCTACTTGTAGAGTGCTCTTGCTGAAAATTGATTTTCTGGTTTTTATACAAAACAAACATTTCTGGTTTTTATACAAAAGTATTTTCTGTCAATAGAGCTTTACCAGAATAATTTATTTTGAAGGTTCTTGAGAAGTAGTTTGGTTAACTTTCTATCTGGGATAGTTTAGGGTAGCTAATAGGCTATTAAAAGCTGGGAGCCTGATACAACTTAACAAAAGGAAGATAAACAATCCATTCAAAAAAGGGCAAAGGACCTAAAAAGACACTTTTTGAAAGAGGCCAAAAAACATATGAGAACATGCTCAGAGCCACTAATCATCCGGGAAATGCAAATCAAAACAACAATGAGGTACCATCTCATCCCTGTCAGAATGGCTATCATCAACAAATCAACAAACGACAAGTGCTGGAAAGGATGTAGAAAAAAAGGAACACTTGTGCACTGCTGGTGGGAATGCAGACTGGTGCAGCCACTGTGGAAGACAGTAG